TTGATTTGCATTGAAAGATGATCTTATGGAAAGTACCCCATGCCAATCTCTAGGTATGGTGAAGGGTGTGTGATGTGGGGATATTTAATTTCAAAGGATAATATGCATTATCAGGATGCATATTATCCTGGATCCATGAAATAACGGGCCTTTAAAAATAAAAATCTGCCTGACTCTATGGGAATTTAACATTGGGGTCTCCTGACTTAGGCACCCTGTATTATAAGGAGTAACATTTATTTATTTACTTATTTAATATACATTATTCATACGCAAAGAAAATTGGTGTCCTTAAAGGTTGTATTTTTCCTCTTTTTAGGCAACTTTAGCATGGGTGTTCTAACTTATCCCCATCACTATATATATAAAAAGAGAGATTGATGTTTAACGATTACTTCATATGTTTCAGCTTCATTGCAAAGTCCCTATATACAGTTCTGCTGTCAGCGCCATGGCCATCCACCCAGAAACAAACTGTCTATTCATGATGCATGCAGATCAACGGGTAATTATGGTGACCTCAATTGAATTGCATAGATGTGATTTGAAGTGGCTTAGATTGTTTTTCTTGATCTTATCCGTTTTTGTTCACCACAGATGTTTGAGTTTTCCATAGAGCGGAAAACAATACACTGACTGGAGCAGATTGGTGCAAAGGAATGGCCTACATTATATCTGGCTGGAAAGAGACACACCGTGCCTCAACGTTATGTTTAATCCCCAAAATCCATCCCATGTCATCCTGCATGATACCTACATGTTCTGCATCATTGATAAAAGCCTGGTGAGGCCGTCTTAGTCATGCTCTGTCATCACATTTAGTGACTTCAGAAAGCATTTGCCACGCTTAGAATTAATGTTTGTAATTGCTTCTATTATTATTAATTACATCTATTATTAATTACATTTTTAAATGAATTTAAAAAAATGCATGTGTCTGTTCTAGCCACTTCCTGATGTCAAGACACAATTCCTCAATCAGCTTACTCTGAAGAGCCTCCCAAGGAAAAGAGGAAATCTCAAAGCCATGCTTTCAAAGTCTGCAAGACCTTCCGGGTGTGTGGGACCAACATGTACATTGTGTTTTTTCATTTTCCTGAAGTTTTGGATTGGAAAATTAATTACTTTTTATTCTCTTTCTGTCTTTTAGGAGATACTGCATGTTGAGCTGATGTCAGATCAGTCTCTGGTGGTGGTTGAGCGCCCTCTAGTGGACATATCTACTCAGTTGCCTGCACCCATTAAACAAAAGAGATTTGCCACTTAAGAGTAAATCTCCCTTTTATGTTTGTGGCCTCAGCGAGAAAGTGTTTTATTCAGAGTCTGCACATTTTCCCCTCTTCCCCCATTGTAAAAACTGCTGCGACCGTATTAAAAAGAAATTTACCATAGTTTCTGTGTGGTCTTTTCTCTTTAGGTTTGACATTTTTCGGTATGTTCTGACATCGATGTTGTTATTAGTAACTAAAACCAGTACCAACTTGTCTGTAAAACATATTCTTTTGGACTGCCCATTGCCCAATCTTTAATGTTATGAGAATGCAGTCGTTATCAGGACAAACTTTTAAGGACTTATTAATGGATCCAGGTTTGTGTATTTTTAGCACAAGTAAAATACATTTATATAATCTATTATAGAATTGTACTTATTTTGAACATGTACTTTTCTTTTTCTAAGTTTGTTTTTATGATATTGTACTTTTGATAGTATGTTGTTAAATGTTTAATGTCTGTCGTGTAATCGCCAGTGATGCGGAAATGGCAATAAACTTAAATACTATGACTGAAATTGAAACAAAACTAAAATAAAAGTAGATGAAAATTAGAATTGTTGAAAGAGATTTAAATTTATATAATGGATCAGTGCTTGAAGTACTAAAATGACTCGAAATAAAACAATAAGACCCTATTAAAAATTGGCTATCACCAGATGAAATGTAGAAATAAAAGCTTTTTCAAAATAAGTACCATAATTACATATAAGTGCTCAATTGTATTATTAAATAAGATATATTGATATTGATATATACTTTATTGTCCCCGAAGGGAAATTTATTATGGACACTGTCCATTCCGTAGCTTTACAAGACAGCAAAAAAAAAAAAAGACAATTCACAGCAAAAAAATAAAACAAACAGATATTGCACACTCTCTTAATGGCCCTACATATTACATACTCCATAGAACACATAAAAAATTACAGTTAACATATTGCAGGCTCATTTGCACTCTCCCTTAGGCTCATAGTTTTCATATATCGTGTGCCCTTCATTTTAAGTTACCTCTGTCAAAGATAATACCACATTAACTTAATTGGTGTAGTTAAATAGGTTACTTAATTATATCCTATATAGGCACTTTAATCTCAGTCTTTGAATATTTGCTTTTTTGTAGTTAAGTTTTACTTATAGATTTTTTTTTAAATAACATGCTTTTAGAATAGCAAGTTTGGATTGAGTAAATAATGACTGAATAGCATTAACGTTACTTGAACATGCGTTGTTATTCGCACATACCTCAAGTGTCACTTCAATCTAGATATATTATATATCTATCTAATATATTACAATATATTTTTATAATATACCAAGTATTTTCTTTGTTCATTTGAAGCTATTTTTATCAAGGCCTTTTATTTTGAAACACGCTAATTACGTCACTAGAGGTTGTTGCTGTTATGCTGCTGAGTGTCAAACTCGCGTGATTGTTTTGGCAGGATGGCCGCCCCTCTCAGTGACAGCAATCAGAGACCACTGCAGAATGCCATGAAGCTTGTAAAAGTGGCCATTCAGCTGGACACCAGCAACAAACACAAGGTTGACATGTTTATATCTTGAAACCTGCATTGTTTGATCCAGATATGGTCATATTTAGCCAATAGCTGCATGCGAGAGCGACGTCATTTATCAGCGTAAACATTGATAGAAGCTGATGATCATGATTTCTCAAAAAAACTGTGAGTCCAGTCGATCGTGTCCAAAATGTGAACTTTTTTCAATGAAGTACGGATAAAAATTTTATTTTAAAATACTGATACTTTCTTTGGATACAATCATATCAATGGTGATTTGCATAGTTTACTTTTAGATATTATTAAATAAATCTAATTAGCAGCTAACGTTACCTGTTTCCGAATCACCTGATCTCAGAGTGTTTAACGATTAATCGGAGCTGGTTTGAGCTTACATAGACTGCAGATTTAGATAATACATGATGTTGTCCTTCTCTCTTTGAGGGGTGGCGTTAGATGTGGCAACTCGAGATACCACAGAAGTTCAAAAGGACATCTAGCAACAAATCTTAAATTTAACAGGCACTGTGTTGCCGAATAGATTCAATAAAATCTTCCTGCCACACCCACTGTGGTTGTTTATTTCTCTTTATAGGAGGCATACTGTGAATACTTAAGAAGTATCAACTACATCTCCCATGCTCTGCTTGAAGAGGCCGCGTCTACACGTAAGTTATTCACACTTAAAAACTGCGTTATGAGAGTTCAGAAATGTAACGTTACTACAGTTACACATCCTCCAACACTTCTATTCAAAAGTGATAAGCGTTTAGCCTTCAACTGTCATTTCACAATACATTTTATTTCCTCTATGACAGTCATTGTCATGTGCTGTGACCCGGCTTCCTATTTCAAGAGAGAACTGGAGGACTTTAAAGGAAGAGATTTGATGTGTCACACAATGTTATGTGCTTCATCATCATCACATCAGTGAATTTGATTGACAAGACACACAGTCCTTTTTGTGGATTAAAATATACTGTATCTTAAGTGGAAAAGATTGCGTTAAATGGTTCCTAAAGCTCTATTAAGATAAGGCTAGATCTTCTCACATTGGTTCATGATTAGCTTTTCAGGTCCATGCAGAGTAACCTGATTGTTTAAGGCAAGTTCACAACGCACCATCAGGAATCGGTTTTGTTGTCATGCTGAATCGTAATTTGAATGTTTGAGAAGTTACGTCCTGGGGCCAGTTCCATAAACATAGCCATTATGTTAAGACAGTGTCTTAAGTACTAGTTTTTTACTAGTTACTAGCCAGCATTGACCAACTAGCACTTAGTTAGTGGTAATCAATCTTACTGCTCGGTATCAAATTAGACCAATGTACGTTTTGATGTAACTAACTTGAAAAAGTTATGAACAGTCTTAAAGAAAAAATTGGATGACTAACTTGTAAGACTAGTCTTAGCAGTTTATGCAACTCGCCCCTGTAATCTAGTGACTGTCGGAATTGGTCTGCGTCTGTTGGTGCAGTGAATCATAAACTGACTCACTTCAGACCATCAAATTGTACCTTTTTTTTTTCTGGATGAGCTACTAAATATAAATTATGCACTTCCTCTTGCAGTGGAAGGAGAGATGGAGTCGGTGGAATTAGAGAAGATGGTGAAACTGGTTGAGCAATGTTTGGAGAGGGTCAAATCATGTATAATAAGGAAGCAAGAGTCCCCTACACCTGCCACCTCCTCCACTTCTCTGTCCGATCCCAAACAGACCACCATTCCAGCTATTAATGCATTAAGTGATCTCGAAATATCAGGTGAGCCTATTTTTCCTGGTTTTCAATCAGGAGGTCCCTGAAGTTGCAACTTCCAATTTATTTAACATATAGACATTTATTTCAAAAATATGATTTTTAAAATTTTAAAACATTATTTCAGGATAATGTAGTCTCTTATGCTTACCAAGGCTGCATTTATTTTATCAAAAATACAGTTAAAAAATGTAATATTGTGAAATATTATTACAACCTGAAATAACTGTTTTGTAATTTAATGTATTTAAAAATTTCATTTAATCCTGTGACAGCAGCTTTAGTCTTCACACGGTCTTTCAGAAATGATTCTAATATGCTGATTTGATACTCACTTATCAGTGTTGGACACTGAAGACTGGAGTAATGGCTAATACAAATTCAGTTTTGCATCACAGAAATAAATCATATTTTAAAGTATATTGAATTGCTGTTTTTTTTCTGTAAATGCAGTATATATATATGTATATATATATACACCGTATACTTAATATTCCAAACTCTTCTCTTTGTAGAAATTTCTAATGAGCCGGGATTGGTTTCTGTGACACAACAAAGTAAGCAACAGCCCACCAAACATCGCAGAGTCCTCTCTGAGGGAGGGGTGGCAGGCTCCCCCTTTCTGCCACCTGAAGTCTTCCAAAAGTTTCAGACAGTTGAGTCACAAGACAACCGAAAGTGAGTCAGTAATCCATTGACATTTTCATAAGCACTGTATATATACCAGCAGAATGTGTAGGAACTTATGTAACGATGGGTACAGAGTCCCAAAATCCATTGATCATTGAGTTCACATCTTGTTCCCAAAGATATATTATGAAATCTAATACATTCAAGATAACAAACAAAAACAAGATATACGTAACACTGTAACATGTTAACATTTAAAATAGTGTTAATATAAAAATAATTCTCACCACATCATAGCTCTACATTTAATAATAGAGTAAACCCTATGATTTAGTCACCCTTGAGCCATCCTAGGTGTATATGACATTCTTCTTTCAGACGAATACAATTGGAGATATATCTGAAAATGTCCTGGCTCTTCCAAGCTTTATAATGGGATTGAATGGCGATTTCTGTTTTGAGGTCCATCAAAGGGCATCTATCCACGATAAAAGTGCTCCACATGTCTCCAGGTGGTTAATAAATGCCTTCTGAAGTGAAGCAATGTGTTTGTGTAGGAAAAATATCCATATTTAAAACTTTATCGACTAAAATAACTAGTTTGCGGCAGATGGCTGTATGCTTCGACTTCGGCCATCTGCCAGAAGCTAGTTATTTTAGTCGATGAAGTTTTAAATATAAAATTGGATATTTTTCCTACACGAACCCATCGCTTCTCTTCAGAAGGCCTTTATTAGCCAATTAACCAAGCAATTTTTTCATGGATGGATGCACTTTGGACTTTTATGACAAAAATATATGGCCATTCCTTGCCATTATAAAGCTTGGAAGAGCCAGGACATTTTTTTTTAAATAACTCCGATTGTATTCGTCTGAAAGAAGAATGTCATATATACCTAGGATGACTTTAGGGTGAGTAAATCATGGGCTAATTTTCATTTTTGGGTGAACTAACCCTTTAAGAAACCAATTTTTTTTTTATTCTGGATGATGCCTCTGTAAGAGAAAGAGCCCAAGACATAAAGCTTTTCCTTAATATCTAAATTATTACAAAAGATTATCATTATTTTTATCCGCTATCCACAACATTTAAGATTAGGTTGTTCATCACTGTTATTTTTTTTTTAAATCAGGGTTCACATGGTTCACATTAGTTATGTGTACTGTACTTCCTGTGGCCCCAAGCCTCAACAATTGATCTTTCAAGGTTATCAGTTCTGTGATAGAGAACAAATCTATTCTGCATCCATATACAGGAAGTCAATAGTACATCACATTCTTTTAGTCTCACTAAGAGCTGCCACTAATGCACAGAATGTTCACAATAATAAGTTTTTGTATGTGTATGACAGGGAATTAACGCCTATTGAAGAAGCGTCACGTCTGAACCAGAAACTTAAGGCTAATTATGAAGCACGACTGGCAAGACTTACCCCTGGTCAGGCCACACAAAAAACCTCATTGGTAAGTTTAGAAAAATTAAATGTGAGTTTGTATTAAAAAAAAAAGCAAAAACAAATAAATAAATCTTAGACTATAAAAAAATACTATGCTTGTATGCTCTACTCTTGGAAATTATTATTAAAAAAAACCACATATACATACATACAAGGGCCCCTAAAATAAAGTGCCATAGTGCCTTCTTGAATCTGTTTCTTTTTTTCTGCTGTATTTTTTTAATATATTTTTTGGTAAATAATTATAAATCCATTAAATTATGAAGAAAAGGGAATTAGCAAAAAAATAAATAAAAATGAATAGAGGAAAAATAAAATTATGAAAAAAAAAAATGATTAATGAAATAGATCCAGGAAGGTGAGGAAAAAATGTTCCACACTGTGTTTTTTCCAATCTTGTGGTTCAACGCATTCATAATATATAAAATTTCGTATGTGTAGAAAAACTATAAATGGTAACACTTTACAATAGGGTTAACTACATTTGTTAACATGAACCAAGAATAAACAATACATCTACAGCATTTATTAATATTACTTAATATCAATTTCAACATTTACTTATACATTATTAAAATCAAAGGCACTTTGAACAAACAATGAGCAGCTGGATTTTTACTAACATCTACAAGGATTACTAAATACTGTAACAAATGTATTGCTCATTGTTAATTCATGTTAGTTACTAGATTAACTAATGTTAACCAATTATCCTTACTGTAAAGTGTAACCCAAATTTGACCTTATTTCGGATGTTTACGCACCATGACCTTTTTATTGTGCGCATGCGTATAACACCTCTGACGCCACACCTCTTGTTTTAAATGGCTTTGCGCGATTCACTAAGCTCACATGTCCATGTGCTGTTGCTGTGACTTCTGAAGTGAATGTGGGATCCAGTTAGGTGTTCAGGGCGACGGATTGGCCGCACATAGATAAAGACAATTCATATTTCGTCTGCGGTCGCTATCATAGTTTAATAGCGCAGTTCGTTGCATGGCAGGTTCTTTCGTATAAGTTTTGTCAAACACAGCGGACATTGTGCAAACATTGTGTCCAGTCCAGTTTTCAAGAATGATGCGGAGACACAGAGAAAAAGCAATGGATCTTCGTTTATACTGGAAAAAGCTCAAGACATTCTGGAAGGTTCGTTTTGATTTATTCATTTAACGTTAACTTACGTGGCGAGGGAAAAAAAGTAACGTTAACGTTAACTGGTTCTGTTCAAAATAAGCGGCTTCCTTTAACGGTTTGGAGGGAAAAACGTTGGTTACTTTGTGTAACGTTATGCCAAAATCATAAATCTTTGCCTAATGAAACTCAATATTGAAAAATAATATTGTAAACTTGGGTGACGTTACCACTTTAAAATAAGGTTTCATTAGTTAACTAACCTTATAGTAACGTTAGTCAATCTTTGTCAATGTTCATTTCAACATTTATTAATACAAAAAACTAATACAACTAATACATGTACTAATACAAAAGTTGTGTGTTAACATGAATGTACTGTTAAGTAACAAAAACAAACAATAAACAGCTGTTAAAAAAAATAGTTCATGTTAGTTAAACATTTACTAATGCTAGCAAATGAGACCTTACTGTAAATTGTTACGGAAAGATGACATGTCATGCTGTGACATGATCCATCTAAAACAATTTTGACTGACCGCATTTTGCTAAGTCTACTTTTAAAAGTCCATTATTGATTCACTTCATTAGGTTAATTTGTTAATTGGCAATACTTTTTTATATATTTGAAAGTTAATTTGGCATAAAATCTATAGAGTAAAACAAAAGTGTGATTTACAAATAGGTTCGAACTGTTGAACAGTTATGGACAGAAATAGTTTAGTTTTTGTTAATAGCTATAGTGGATGTCCCTGCAAACTGAATGATCACTGTTTGCTGTGAGTGTTTTAACTCAGTTAAATCTGGTGGGATGCTGCACTATAGTCATGAAACTTTCTTCAACTTTTATTCTACTAATGATTAAATGGCAATAATCAAAGTTGAAACTGAAATAATTACTTGTATAATAATCTTTATTTTTTTTCTTTATACAGACTCTCTCACTTCAGAGGCAAATGATGGAGAATCTTATAATAGCCAAAGCAAGACAAGATGCAGTATCCTTTATGGTTTCCTGGGCTGTGGCTTTTATTAAAGTCACCATGCATGAACTAAAAATGGACAAATCTTCGTTTTTTTATATAATATTGCAGTGCTATTATAAATCTTTTATCCATGCACATTAAATAATAATAATAATGATAATTTTAACCCATCCTCTTTGTAGCAGCCTCTTCTCTGATAATGTGTTCACTGGCTACAATTATTATTATTATTTTTTTTTCTCATTAAAAATCCGTTTCACTTGAATATGCGTCACAATAGGGAAGAAATTTCTGTTAAATGCCAATTTCAAGGTCTGGTCTTAGACCTTTTGTGCTTTCTCTGCAAACCAGAGGTTTCTATTAATCACACTGTTAAAGCTCTGTGTACGTTTTAAAATTGAAACACACTGCTTGCAATTCATGAAATATCCTTTTCAAAATGTAACATCATTTCAACAAATTACTGAAAGCTTAAGTTAAAGCACTACAGCATTTATACAAAAATATGTTAGTTTAAACAATGTATATGGTTATACAATAATGGAAATTGTCACTAATTTCTCACCCTCATTTCTTTCCAAACTCCAGACTTTCGTTGATCTTCGGAAAATTATTATTTTTTTGATGAAATCCGAGAGCTTTCTGTCCCTCCATTGACAGCTATGCAACTTTTTGTTTTGTTTTTTTAAGAGACAATAGTTTTATATGATGAATAGATTTAATTTAGATTTAATTTATTTTTTGTTCTCATACAAACATTGATCAACTCACACATCAGTTGTGCTAAACAGATGGTCAAGCTGGTTTGAATGACATGCGAGAACCAATAAAGTTCATTCTCGTGTGTCAGCGAACATAAACTGATGCTCAACTGAACTGAAAGCGCAAACATGGTGCATAATGAGGTTGAGTAAATAATGACAGAATTTTCATTTTTTGGGTGACATTTCCCTTTAATCGATGTGCTGTGAGCAAAGTTAGCTGCTTCTGATTTTTCTGAATGTGGTAATTTTTCAAACTGTTGGGAGTTTTCCTGAGCGCTTGCAGCTTCAAAGGAAAATGGAGGAGAGGAGACTTCGGCTGCAGGAAGAAGCCAACAGGTGAGCAGCTTTTGACCCGTGGGCCAGATGGACATTCATAATGTTAAATTGCACATGGAGTGTTATGAGTTTTGCATATTATGTTTCTTCTTCCTTTAAGCCATTTAATGCTCAATTTTCTAGAATTTTAATGTTAATTTCTATGCATGAAATTGCACTTTTGCAGGCGGTTTGCAACCTGTGGGACCATTACACCTGAGGAACAAGAGCAGCGAGTTCTGTATGCAAGTGTGCTTGAATATGAGCATGATCATGTAAGTATATTCATTTTGTTGTGTTGATTGGTTTTAGACACTTTATGTATCTTTGTGCATCGGTTTGTCAATATCAGGACCTCGTCAGTATTTCTTTCACCCTTGTATTGATGGACAGTGTTACATTGTGTGAGAGATTATTTGCTCCAAGTGAGAATGTTAGTGTGAAATTGAACACCGTATATGTCAATGTTGTTTTCAATAAAAAATATTTGCACAAAGCAAGCCGATCCACTTCTCCATGTTGATAAGATTAAAATAATGGGACAAAAAGGAATCAAGAGATATTTAAAATAGATAAAAATGTGTGATTAATTGCAAGTTAACTATGACTTTAATGCGATTAATTGCGATTAAATATTTTTATCATTTGACAGCACTAATTTTGATATATTTTAAAATGTAATTTATTCCTGTGATGACCAAGAAAAAATTTCAGCAGTCATCACTCCAGTCTTCAGTCTCACATGATCCTTCATGTAAATATAAATTTATTGATTTGGTGCTCAAGAAATGTTTGTAGGTAATGGGAAGAACGGCATCCTTGCCGACCCCAAGTTTTGACATTTCTTCTCAATTATGTATAAATAATGGTTTCATTGGTTTAATCATAGGAATGGCCAAAAATTTGGAAGGCTAAACTGAAAATGAATCCAAATGATCCGACACTGGTTACAGGTCTTATCTCCTGTCTTCTCAGGTAGGTTCGTGGTGTCATCTGTAAAAATAAATGAGCGTTTCTTCTGTATCTAATGTCATCTGTTTTTGTCTTTCTTGATCCCAGCTACCCAGATCACCCAGTCATGAAGTTGCTGAAGAAGCTTCAGTATCATGTGTATAGCAGACTGTATCCCATAGTGAGCCAGTGTGTTCCTCTGGACACAGTGCCTGGTTGCTCGCTACCCTTAAAGCCATCCCGCAGCGCCCAGAGCCTGCTCCTGTTCGACAGTCATATCTCTTCACAGCAGCAGCAGAGCTCACTCAAATCTGCTCTGACACACAGCTTATCGGATGCCTCTATCTCCCTTTCACCATCCCACGACCTCAACTTAAGCGACATTAAATCCGAAACTGAACTGCGCGAGTCATCATCTCTGGCCTCCACAGATAGGGAGAACTCTTTTGAGGATCTGGAGAAGTTTCTTACTCAGCTGGACTGGGTTCCTTCTCAAAGTGGAGATGATACAGACTCTGATGTGACCTTTGGCACAACACACATGGACCTAGAGTCTCACATTCATGATCGTGAGGAGCGTGCTCTGAAGGGACATTTGAAAACCATCGTCAAAGATATTCACAATGCTATCGGTAAATATATGTTTGTTTGTTGTGTGACTGAGGCCTTAGTTGTGACTCTAGATATGTACAACGTGAGTTCAGCAATCATGGAAATCCCCTGTTATAGCCAGTGGGATCTGTAGGGTTGTATCATGCGTTTATACTGCGTCAGGGTGTAAACAACGCCATAATCCACCATAAACGTGTTTGTCAAAGGTCCTTTTGTGAAATGTACTAGTTGGCTGATTCTCTATGGTAAATGGATTTGTCTTTGTGTGAAACAGATCGCCTGCTGTCTCTGTGTCTTCTGTCTTTTGAATGTCTCAACACTGCCGTCTCTAAGGACCAATGTGTGGCCAGCATAGAGGAAGTCTTCTTCACCCCTATTTGGCGCCCTCTATTGGCACTCTTTAGGTAGGTCACAAATTGGGTGTTTTTCACAAATAATACCACCTTTCAAAAGTTTGGGGTTGTGTGAGGGCTCACACCAAAGTTATGTCAAAATGCCTGTCTAGGCGAGTCTCAGTTAACAGGGTTCCCGTGGATCCTTAAAGTCTTAAACTAGATTTTTAAAATTTAAGGTAATAAAATTTAAGCTATAAAAAGTCTTATTTTACTTATGAATGGTCTTAAATTCCGGATGACATTTTGACATGGACGTATCTGAATGCTGAACCACCTACAGGCAGTTTTACGTTTTAGTTTTATATTTAAAATACCCTTTAATTAAATTTCAAATTAGAAATAATTTCATATTTAAATATTGAATAAAAAAATCGCATTGCATTATTTATGCAATTGTTAATATATTAATGCCGCTTGACACCTCTGCACTGCAAAGATGGATTTTGTTGATAATGATTTAATTTGACTAGTAACAGCCCTATAATGTTGTTATTCTAATATAATTTATTTGAATGTTAGAATTTTACATAAAAGGTGATGCGTACAAATAATACGTTTTGAATAAGTGCCCTTATTTATGTAAAAATGCCCTTGGTAATCAATTTATGGTGGCAAATATTGCCACCATTTAAAAAAATAAATAAAATTGTCGCTGCTGTGAACTGACCACCACATAGAATGAATATCTTTGTGAATCAGCTGTCAACAGCAGGCCTAAACCAGCCATGGTACCAGCACAAAAATGCATTAAAATCAACAAAACTTTGGGAATATCAGGTTTTTTTATTATTTATTTTTTTTTTGGTCAATGTTGCACACCCCTAATGTACAGTGTTAATTTTTTCAGGTCAAGCTTTGCATAGTGGTCTATGGATTTGTTCATATATAGTAGATTCGCTCGCTCGGTCAAAATCGAGGGGTCTAGGCACTGTCCAAATAAACTTTCCTACCCACTTCAAAATGGCAGCGGGAATTCCCTTAGAAGAAGTGCTTAGGGAAGTCTGCGAGTGTGTGTATATCTAAAAGTGGAGTTAAACAGCCTAGCTTCACCGATTAGGTTCAGAGAGACGTCAAGCTCAACTCACTGGCTCTGCAGTGGGCAGCCTTTCCTTGTGGTGGAAGAGATTGCTGTGTCATTACATGATTTATGTAGTTTTTGAGCAGTAGATGGCACTGCTTGTCAATTTGTATCTTATACATTTGTTCTTTAGTTACAGCATGGCTGAAAATACCATTTTCCCTTACAACTGCTCCTATTTTGTCAAAACACTAGCTGCTTTATTGGTTTAGTTAAAGAACATATTATCTTATGTGTTTCTTTTGACTCTTTAGGCGAGTGAATCATGAACGGGAGCTGGCTGTTGAGAACAGCATGCGTCTTCATCGTAATGTTTCACCTGGTGACCTTGGTGTAGCATCCAAATTGTTCCCTAGAGACACCACTGCGATGCATGGTTCCTACCCATATGAGTCGGCAGTACAGGAGTTGAAGCTTTTGTGTAGAGACTATTGTCCTCAAAAGAAACTTGAGTGTATTGGTAAGATCTCTGAGATGCTTAAAATGAAACCACAAACCCTTTCTGTGTGTTCTACTGTATGTTATTTCAATGCAAACACAGAATTAAAAACGACAATGTCTAATGTGTTTAACAAACTCTCCCCATCTGCTCTGACAGACAGATAGTCCCACCCTTTAAGAAGAGATTTATTTGACTACAGATTTCTGGCTTCTAACTATTTCTCGATGTTAAGCTGGGGTAGGAGAAAGAATTTTAACGAGATGAATAGCCAATATGCCATTATCTACTTCATCTTGTATTTTACTTTTTATCTTTGACTTATTTTTAAAAGTTTTGGTATGTAATAATTTTGACTTCATCATCTTATAATTGACATCATAATTTTGACTAAAATGTGAAGTCATAATTTTGACTTGCTATCATAAATGACTTGCTGTCATAAAATAAATTATTTCAGTCGAAATCGAGTCAATTTTGAAGTTGAGTCATAATTGACAGTCAAAATCGAGATGTCTTAATTTGACTCATGTTATGTTTGACTTTTTAAAGTCAATTTTAAGAAATAAAAAATGGTCATAATTATGACTCATTTTGTCATTTCGACTTGTGACACTCAAAATTGATTTACCAAAGCTGTTTGTGTGTGTGCCAGAAATGGGCTTTTTCGTACTTTTGTTCTTAAATTATATTACATAAATGATGTGTAAAACATATACAAAGTATGTTTCTACACCTAAAGGTTGTATATTAATGCCAATATGTACCCTTATGGTATTATGCACCATTTAGGTACAATTCCAGTATTTTTTCTGACAGCAGCTGTTTTTCATTGCAGTGAGAACTTTAAGAATTATCTGTGGCTGTGCTGAAGAGTACCGCCTCCTGCAAGAAAAAGACCCTCAACCCAAATCAGCAGCAATGTGAGTATACACAAAGTTATAACGTGTTGCTGTGACCCTTTGTCCATTTCGCTGTCATTTAAAAAAAAAAAGACAAACAATCAAGAAGCAACTTTAGTATGTTGGAGTTCAGACTTGTTTAAACACAATCTCCTGCTTGTCAGCTGGCCTTGTGTCAGACTTCATCAGACCTCATGGAGGCCAAAGCTCAGCAGGGGTCCTGTCTTGACCCTCTGGCCCCTGCGGGGCGCTCGGAGCTGACTTCCTCTCTAAGTGGGTCGCCCTGTCTGGAGCAGAGTTTGGCCTTGATGCACTTTGAGAGTCTGAATGTAGAACTGCTTAGGTCAAGTAAAATTGATCGTTATTCTAACAAAAAGGGAGCTTTTTCTTTTGCCGAGAGATACTTGTGGAACATGCTAGTTCATTAGATGTTCATACAGCTCCTGTCAGGCACATGTAGAGGGGGAGGGGGCTTTGGGTGCTTGAGCCGCTGCCTTTTTTAAAATTAATCAAAAGTACCCTTCTCAAACAAATATCAATTGATAATTATGGTGGTCAAAACAAAATGCATTTGATAATTAACATGACGATTTGTACAAGACTAAAGTAGCCTAAATTCACGTTTATTTTTACTTTTCTGTCAGTCTGTGTCGGTGTCGTTGCCCTAACGCGTCGCGTTGCTATTGGTTGTGTGTAACTGTCTGGCTTCGGGCTTGACTGAAGAAGTCAGACTCCGTTTTCGAAGGTCGAAAACTAATGGATGGCAGGCGCAACCGTAGCAAATGCTATGCGTTTGAAAGTGAAAATGCATAAACATATAGGTATTCCACAATCTGCTCTGGAACCGATGCTCTCTAGCCAAATATGGTTCTTTCAGTGAGTAACGTTAGGCCTAACTTGTATGGCTCAATGGCAATTTTTTTTTACTTTTTTTTTTTCAATAATAATAAAAGGTAGTGTTGTTTCAAATAAATCAACATATCACGTATTTTAAAATTACATAATTCATTGAAGCCTGTTTGTCATTTATAATACACCGACCAATTGTCATCTGTCACAACATGTAGCAAAAGTAGCATTAATGGTAAGTAGCAGCATATTCAAGTCACTTGAATTTTGTCTATGTAAATTGATACACTGTTTACTATTTTTCACGGTTTACTAAATTTGGTCACTACTATTTTAATGTTGTGGGTTTTTTGTTTTTTTTATACAAGTCTCTTATGCACATCAGGCCTGCATTTATTTGATCAAAAATATAGAAATCATTACCACTTAAAATAATAGTTTTCTATTTTAATGTACTTTTAAAAAAAATAGTTTTTTTTTTCTGTGATACAAAGCTGGATTTTCAACAGCCAATGATCCAGTCTTTTTAGTGTCACATGATTCTTTGGAAATCATTTGAATATTCTGATTTATTCATGTTGGAAACTGTTTTTTTAATACTTTTTTTTTCAGGATTCATTGAATAAAAAGTTAAATAGAACAACAATAAATTAAAATAGAAATTATTATTTACAAGTGATTCACAAGTCTTTACTGTCACTTTTTAAAATTTCTTTAAAAAAAGAAAGAAAGAATATGTAGCCTTGATGAGCATAAAATGCTTCTTTCAAAAACATTAAAAATTTTACTAGTGTCCAAACTTTTGGCTGGTTGGGTACTTGTATAGGCCTACTATACTTATAATACTACTAATACATATTTATATGCCCCTTTTTTACATTTGAGCTCCTGCCCCTGAGCAACTCTCTGCACATCCCTGGCGCTTGGCAAATAAATTGACGCTGGCGAGATTAAACTGTCACCTCTTTTTACTTGAAAAGTCTTGAATTCTGGTTTCACTGCATGAAACGGGTGTGTTCAACCAGAGTAATATCTTCCTGATGACACACTTTTTCTTGAATGTCTGTATTTATTCAGGTTTATCAGAGTGAGTGTACTTGGCTCAGATTCTCTGTGGGAAATCTCCCACAGACCTCAGCGTCTGCTCCACTCTCTTGAAAAACATCTTAAATTTATTCCTGTTTTAGCTGCAATCTCGACAGTTAAAGTGTGAGCTCACGCTAGCATCCTGCATAGGAGAAAACTGTAGTGGGAAGTTATGTGGTCCTTTATGATGTTTGTACCCTCTCTCGGCCCCGCCACACCCATTAAAAAACTGATGCCTGTTCATCTGTCTCTTTCTTGCTTTCTACTAGGAAATGTGGGTAGAATGAGCACTTGCGTCATATCTGCTTGTGTCTCTTTGCATCACAGCTTGCCGAGCAGAGGCTCGCTGGTGACAGCGGTTTGGCACCCCATTACAGTGACTGATGTAGATGCTTGTTTTTAGAGCACTGTCTGCATCTCTTATACTATGACATCCAGTTTTGTTTTTCTATTAAGGTTGAACATTTAGCTTGTGTAACTTGTAGAAAATGTAGCAACTGGTGCAGAATCTGTTATACTATTTATTCTGTGCACAACACAGAAAGTGGTGCATGCAGACACTGTGTCTCGTATAGACGGGATGTAGGCTTTGAATCAACCATAAATGTATATTATTTCTATAACAAAAAATTAAATGTTAAGTTAATAATTGTTACATTTATAGTTATTTTATTTTTTAATTAATTGTCTTTTTTATAGGTATTTTTTGAATATGTATTTTATATTGTATAACATTTTTATAATAATTTAAATGTTAAATTAAGTTACATTTATATTTTATATAAATGCTATTTTCTGTTTTATAGGTATTTGAATATTTATTCTATTTTTTTTTTGTTTGTTTTACTTCATTTACTATGTTCTGTTGTTATTTAAAATTGTAAAATATTGACTGGATTATTTAAAGGGTTTGTTTATTTTTTTGAACGACTATCGTTTATGATTGTAATTTTGGTTACACTACCCTCGCCTGATATTTTTTTTGTTTGTTTGTTCTCGCCAGAACAATGGACCATTGCTTTCTGAACCCAAAGGCTTTGGTTCTTAAGCATTATTCGGGTGTTTTCCATGTTGTGTTTGAACATTGGTTTAATAATGATTATGCTTTATGCTAAAGGCATCAGTGATTTGCTTGGAAATGTCATTGTGAGACTTGCCCTGATTTTGCCCCGGTAGCACAGCCAATGCGCATTCTGTCTTTGTTTTGCTGTTAACTTTGTTTGGTTGTGAGGGAGAATGAATCTCCTCATGCATGCATGCATGAACATGAACAATTTAGCCATTCTCACTTTTTTTGGTTGTTTTGTTCCATTGTCTCTCCTTGCTCACTCATTATTTCTTCTCCTTTCTGGATTACATTCACTCACACTTGAATTTATATTACTGTTTCCTTCTGCACATCAGTCTTTTCCTCTATCTATCTTTTCCTCTATCTTTGTCTTTTAAGGACAAGAGGGGGCATATGGGTATTCATTAAATTTAAATTTCAATAGCCCCTATATTTTGGCTTCACATTTATTCCGAAGTTCGTATCACCAAGCTCTTCAGCTTTTCATTAAATGCTCAGATTGTGCCATAATTTAGCCAAAACAGGCTTGAACAAGAAAATGGCTGTGTCATCCCAGCACACCTTTTTGGTGCATGAGCGTTCTTTTGATTGCTGCAGAACCAATGTTGAAACGGATGGTATGTAGAGCTATTCTCACCTGTATAAAACATATCAGGTGTCCTGCAGTCCGGCAGGAAAGGGGACACCCAGCTACTTTCTCACGCAAGTGTCCCTTCATCACATGAATCATGGGGTTTCTATATTCTGTTAATGTCCTTTATGAGAATAGTTTATCCTGGAAAGAAGTGTCATTGGATTTTTTTTTTTTTTTATACTTCATGTATTGTTAATTTCTTCTATTTTCTCTTTCTCAGAGGTGCCGATGACCTATTGCCCATCCTGGCATTTGTGGCATTACGCAGTGAAATGCCTCAGCTGGTGTCTGAATGTGCGGCGTTGGAAGAGTTCATCCATGAGGGGTAAGTCCTCAATATCAAATGCCATATAATTTAACTGTTCAGTAACAGTATTCATGAATTGAATATGAACAAAGATTGCCATGCCACAAGAAATTTTGTAGAACAGAGATATATATATATATATATAATCACACACACATACATACACACACATATAAAAATATGTGTGTGTATATATATATATATATATATACATATATACACACAATACATGCATGCATACAAATCTTAGAATGAAGTGACTAGTAGTATATGAGATCAATGGCAAGTAAGTCAAGTCACCTTTATTTAGAAAGAGCTTTTTACAATACAGATTGGATCAAAGCAGCTTCACAGGGATATCATGAAAATAATAGAACACAGATCAATAATATTGTAGAATATTAAATTTCCCCAACTAAGCAAGCCAAAAGCCAAGGCAACAGTGGCAAGGAACCAAAACTCCAAGTGACAGAATGGAGAAAAAACTCAGTCAGTAACCACAGACGTGTCAACAAGGAAACACTTTATATATTTACTACTGTTCAAAAGTTTTTGAAAAATCTCTTATGCTCACCAAGGTTGCATTTATTTTATCAAAAATATAGTAAAACAGTTTTTGTTGTTACAAATATAAGTTATGGACATTTCGACCAAACGGTCGACCAATCGCTACAGACTGGGCTATCAGACCAATCAGAGCAGAGTAGCGCTCAAAGGCAGGGCTTATAGAGAATGAGTCTTCTAGAAGTCATTTTCACTCTTGAGGTAATGTGTATTATGAGAAAATTAGGTCTACATGCATCAAAGTTCAAAAAGCACTTTATTATAGGAGACCTCCAAAACAAAATTGGGAACCTTTAAAAGCCCTTACAAATAGGCTTTTACACTGACTAAATATTATGCAATAGAAAGTGGCATATTTCAGACAATCTCCAAAACAGATTGTCAATCTGTCAAACTTTTGGCATCACTTTTTGATGGTGGTATGACGCTGTTTGAAAATTTGGCTTGTCACATCCTTTTAAGTGCCAGTCTTTCTGTCCTTTAGGCATGTATCGTGTCAACAGAACACGACCTCACTCGCTGCCAATAATCGTGTCAAAAGTGTCATCTATTGCAGTCTCAGATGTGTGAATAAATATTTCAGCTAGAAAAATACCCTCCAGTCTAAAATGTTGGAATAAACCCATCAAATAGTAGTGCTTTTCGGTAATATGAGTCCAACTTTGACAACTTTTTATAAAAAAAAATGATATTGAGCGATAGAAATCACAACCGTGAGATCTCTGTTTGTATAGGTAGCCGTTTGACCTGTTTCCTGAGTGGTGTTGTGGGGATTCATTGACCCCTCCTGTGCTCTACTCTCGCGTGTCTACTCTGACCACAGCCCTGAGCTCTGTTTATCAGTATAAATTGGACATTTTTACAGGCTGGTTAGATTGGCACTTAACAAGGAATGTTGGGTATATTCTGGTTTGGGTTTTTCTCTTCCTATAAAAATACAAATAAAATATCTTCTGAAGTTTATGATGCTCTGTGGCTTGGAACTGAGGGTGGAACTCTCTCTGCAGCGTGTGAGGGAAGTTGTGATAGGAAGTGTTCTCGTTCTTAGGCACAGTTAACAGGTTTCATTTAAATGGGTCAATATAAATGTGTCTGACTGATTTAAAGGTATAGTTCACCAAAAAAAGGCCTATTATGTAGTTTCAAAACTTTTTTTACACTGAATTGATCAAAAAGTGTGGGAATATTCCTTATGAACTCAATTGTTTTTGTTTTTTCTTTATGGTTACTGAGAGAACAATGATCTGTCTCATACTCTCTGCCTTTCTCATTTTCTCCATCACTTTATCCTCTCTTCACATCCAACATGCTGATCCTTGGCTTCAGCTTGATCTCTCGTGTCTTAGTCTCATTAACAGATGGGTTCACTTGAAGTTGACCCCGAGTGGAAGAGATCTTGTTTTCCCTTGTGAGAAGTGCTAATGAAGTGTTTATGTCTGCAGGTATCTGATTGGAGAGGAGGGGTACTGCCTGACATCAATGCAGAGCGCGCTGACCTATGTCGAGTCATTGTTCTTGGGTGGGGCTCCAACCACATCTGCCAAAACCACCTGAGGTAGGTAAAGCCAATTATATAATTTCAGGTTATCTGAAATCATCTGGAAAAACTCCCACATCTGTGTTCCAAAACCTAGTGAGCTGCCTATATAGGTAGATACATTTAAGATTGTTGGATCGATTTTATTCATTTATTTTTCTACAAATGAATTATTTTCAGCAAGAACGCATCAAGTTGATCAAATGTGATTACGTTGTTTAATGAAATGGTATGCTTCCATATGTTACAACATCTCTACAGGGTCCCTGCGGGTTCTTAAAACGTTTTTAAACCTCTTAAATAAAATGTTTGCTTTTTAATGTCTGAAAATGTCTTAAAATCTGAAATTCCCGATAAGGAGGTCTTACATTTCACGTACTGACCTTAAATTTCTTGTCCGACTCATCATTCATTTTTTTTTTTTTTTTTTTTTAACAGTGCTGCCCCCATATGAAGGAAAATGAGTAACTAAACTCGAGAGCACGTAGATGTGAATTTGAGAACTTGTACAATAAATATTCGTACGTGAACGCAAACATTTACATTCACAGCTCCGATGTGAAAACCTGTAAAATAAAAATCTGAAGTTGAACGCTGAGATTTGCACTCACAGTCAACAGTCACAAACCTGTATTCTGAATCTGAAGCTGCAGACTGAAGCTTTTGCTACTCTTTTCGCGATATATGAGCAGGGATGTGATTTTTCCGGATTAATCCGGAATTCCGGATTTTCCGACCTGAAAATCTGACCTACGTGAATCATGCAGATCTGTAAAAAAAAAATAAAAGGGCGAGGGGGACGGGTGTCGGCTGCCGGAGTGAAAAGGAGAGGATATGAGGACATAATGGCTGACATGCGTACAGATTCTTCCTTCATTTCCAAGTATCAACAAGGACGTACTTGCGTTCCGCTCGTTCAGCTTGTTCACCTGCTCAATTTCGTACCTCAGTCACTCTCGCGCTACTGTGTTATCGTTGTCAGTTTACAATAACATCACCGTTAGGTCCCCAGTAGGGCTGGGCGATATGTCGATATAGTTCAAATTTGCGCTATGATCCTTGCTCCAAGCAAGCTGCTGACTGCTTTTATAGATATATGTATATCGTGCATTCTATCAGTTGCAGTTCTGACGCCTCCGTCTCAACAGCAGTGTACAACGCGACAAATACTCACATAAAATATTAACGCAGAGGAACGGCCAAATCAGTTAAGGGAGTTCACAAAAGTTCATTATTTGCATGTGCTTTAAAGCCTTGCCGGTTAAACATCATTCACTGCTGATGCGCTGTTCTGAGCTAAAAGCGTGTCTAACAGCGCCTGGCTGCTGGACTAAGTTATCTTTCGAGTCTTATTTCGCTAATACTCTCAAATACATGCACGGTTTACATAAGAAAATTTGGTTATGTCTGAACTGTGAAAGCAAACCGAGAAAGTTCTCCATTTTTCAAGTTCTCCACAGTTATCCATTTTACATGCTTAGAAAAGCGTAACGTTTTATTTTGTGTCACCGTCCTAGTTCGAGTTACACTACTTGTGTAACTGTATTTAAACAGGGAAAACGTGGAGGTGTTTGGTCGCTTCTCTGCTTGGCCCATATTGAATGAACTGGGCTAGTTAAGTGCTATCAAAAAGTGTATCGCGCGATTGAGTGCACGCACTTGAGACGAGAGAGGCATGTATCAACTCGTCTTATTTAAGGGAATAACATGGTTTAATATGAAAAAGTGGTGGAGTATCCCTTTAACCTTTTTTCGTTAACTGCCACACTATACACACGTCAAAGTAGCCAGAGCGGTAGGTGAGCAAAAGAGAATTTCAGAAACTTAAATACGGACTCCAAACATTTGAGCGGTTGATGAGGTTTTTTATTTATTTTTATTTGGTTTTATGCCTTTCAGAGATTCTTTCAGTTAGTAAGAACTGTCATATGGTGGGTTGGGGAAAGATTAACTAAACCAATAATTCTACTTATACCATGGTCTGGGTGAATACTCGATTCTGATTGGCTGCAGGGTGTCCGTTAAAAAGTGATAGAGGACACCTAGTAAAGTAGTTCTGGTGAAACTGCCTGTTTACCATTCGAAATTAATAAATAAATGCGCTGCCTACAACGGCTGTGAGTAACCATAGCAACAGGCAGTCACATGCTCTATCATCGATCTAACGTTAGATATTATAGCCTAATACAACAATGAGCGACTTCGTGCTATTTCTTTTAACATTTATGGAGAATATGGCAACTTTGACGACTGGTATGCTGCTGAAGAAAGAAAAAATGTAAATAAAACGGAGAAAATTACACCGCTGCTGCTCTGCTCCATTGAACTCTATTGGTAACGACGTAACTTGCGACCATATTGGATAACGATGCTTTCGGGAAACGCACCCCTGAATGAGACCCTGCGGGAGTTTTACGCAGCTGTCCAGACAACCAAGGCAGGAGAAGGCTGAACGTGCTACAGCGTTTCAAGCCTAAGGAGCCTGAGGCAAATTACCCTCTCTTTGATCTGATTAATTTATTGCCCTTTATAACGTTAAGCGCAAATCGCTGGAGATCAGAGCTAATTGTTTTTTTTTTATTGTTGTTTGATTAATTGTTATATGAGTAATAATAAAAAAAAAACTATGCCTACCTTTGTGTTTCATGAAAAAAAAAAATGCATTTGTGAACCTGAAGGGATACGAGCTAAGCGGACTATATCTCCGGTTGCTAAATAAACAGTCAGGCAGGCAAGGCAAGTTATTATTTGTAAAAACTAGATTTAGCCTAATTAAAATATAAACTAATGTTTTATTTGGCAAGTGACCATGGTATAAGCGGGTTAATGCCCTCCGAGGTGTCCATTGTCAGGTTTTAATGGACTTCGGCGGAGGCAACCGTCCTCCGCTGCGCGTCGGCCGGTTTACGCCTCGCCGTCGTCCATTAAAACCTGACAATGGACACCTCGTCGGGCATTAACCCTTACTCGACAATGTCAGTCCGCTTTATTCAAGCGTTTAACTTCGCAGAGCGCAATGTCTGTACAGCTGTCACTTGCACTATGGCGTCCCACATTGAAACGCGCTCCTCTGTTTTCATCCACCACAGCTTAAATGAAACAATTGGAAGGGGAGGAATGGGCGGTTCCCCTGATCACAGACTAATGCTGCTCTTTTACCTTGACGGATGGATTACATTGACCTTGCTGAACTTTCAACTTGATTTCAAGTGAAATGGTGCAGTTTTTTTGGCCACAGGCTGAAGTTTCTATTCAAGGTTGCGTTACTGAAATAATGATAGTCTATGGTGGCTTAAGTTCTAATTAGATTACCCAATGGAGACTGTCAAACGTGCCAAAAAGTCAAACAAACTTTCAACCCCTGCCAGAGTGATGGAGAACACTTTCATTCACTTTTACTTCTGTACCAGATTGTGCTTTTAAAGTACCTGGCTGGTTCATGTTGTTCTTGTTCATCCAATTTAATTAGAACCCTTTGTGTTTTGATTCTAGGTGCAGTAGCCAGTGGTTTTTGATAGTCCTCAGGAGTTGCTTTATCTCCTCAACTCAGCCTGTTTAGCCCCAAATCATGCCAGGGTTTAGTTCTGTTCGAATCTTCCCCACCTGCCGCATTGACGGGACTGGAGAAGGTTATGCTGTGTTTGGGTGCTACAGGGCAGGTTCATGTGGTTCAGGCCGAATGTGGTTAGAAATGAGATCAGTTGTAGCCAAAGCAAAAAAACAAAAAACAAAAACAAATAGTGCATGGGATGAAATGAGCCAGATGTTAAGAAGGGACTTGTGAAAGTGTTTTTTTATTATTATAATTATTTCTATATATTCTAATCCCATTGAATTTTTATTTTTGTTAAAATGGTATTCCCACAAACTTTTATAAAATATAAATGATACTAAAGCGCTACTAACATTTATCATTCTGTTACACCCTATTTATTAAACATGTGCGACACTAATACAGAGTTTTTGTTGTATTTGAGCTCAGAATTTTAGCCTGAGTAGGAATAGTAAAATAGGAAGGTAGAAAAAAAAAGAATAGAGCAAAATTGTCAAGTTTGGTCTTGCAGATTTTTATATGCTGAGCTGTGCATTTCTCTTGCAGGTAAACAAACCACTAAGCAGACATGTTAAGCTGTACAGGTTTTATATATTTTTTTTACATATATATCTTAATTTGTTATTTAAATGCTTTTCACTAATAGTCAAAGAAATGAAATCAATGTGAAAAAAAGCTTGGATGTGCAAGAAACACTAATGCTGCTGGAATAACTGTCTTCAGTCTGATGTTACTGATGTTGAGATTTAATAAGAAATGGGTATTGTGTGTGTGTGTGTGTGTGTGTGTGTGTACACAAAGGCATAAATAAATATATTTATATGTTTTGTTTGAGCAGAGTTTTGTGTTTGTTGCTTAAGATCTGTAATGAATGTGAATGTAGCTTGATTCTCTTTGTCTGTAGAGACCGTAACCATGTATTTTTTTACAAAGCCTTGTTAGAGTCTGTGTTTGATCTTTTGGGATTGGACAATGCACATGGGCATGGTTTGAAAATATATGGTATGTAAATTTTCTAACAATAAAGACATGTAATTTAGTTTGAGTGTTTCTTGTTGTCCCCCCTTCCACCCTTCTTCCAATTGATTAGTTATAATCTGAAAGGGAAGGAAAACGCTGTGAGAAGCGCTTGCGCAGAGGGAGTCCAAACCGCCTGATTGTTGAATTGTTGATGTCTGGATTGTTCTGAAAGTTTCCGGGCCGAAGGAGAAAACATGCCACTCTGCATCAGGAGGCTTAACCTCTGTCCTAGAATACCCTCTGTATGGATGACTATTACTCTAACGGCTTCACTGTGTGAGACTTTGTCGATGGGCAGCATGTTAAATCCCTTCCAGTCCACTTGTCTTGTTGTCCCTCTACATAAATGCCCCAATTCCTGTCTGTGGCACCCAAAATAGCTTGAGACAAGCCTTGGGGTTAAATGCCAAAACACAGCAAGAGTTTGCAAATGGTGATCTAAGTTTTATTTGATCTATAGAAATGAGTGTGACTACTAGATGGACTGAGTTGTCTAAAATTGCATTAAAAAGCCAGTAGGTTGCTCATCATAACCTTTTGTGGTTTCTAGTTGTCACTGTTGGTCTGAAATGTTGCATCCCTGATATTTCCTAAGCTAACTGTTTATGCAATTTAAAGAGTTTGTCAGTCAAAACATCCGATAAATTTAAAAATACTGATGAGAAACTTTTTGCTTCTCACGAAAAGGGACATCTTTGTTTGCCAGACTGGATTCTTTTCCATTGTTTTAAATATTTCAAATCCCTAACCAATTTTGAAATGAGGACTCCAAGCCAGATTTTAATGAAATCCAGCATTGATCGAATCACACCCTCAGTTTTTGCGGCTCTTGTCACGACTTCAAAGAAACAAGGAGTTCAGGAGATTTTCTTTTTTTATTATTTTAATTTCCTCCGACACACAAGATGAATGCGCCAAGTCATGAATTGTTTTCACTCAAGACAAACACTAAACTGAGTAACAGAGATTATGTGTTTAGGTGATGCGAAGAGAATGGCACACTTTTTGGTCCGTAATTCAGATTTAAAGTCATAGTTCACCCAAAAATGAATTATTCACTCACCCCCGTGTCATTTTACAGCCATATGAGATTTTCCTTTAATGGAAATCAATCTAGTCACATCATCCAATATTATTGTTTGGAACAACTTGAGGATGAGTAAATGAGAGAATTTTAACTTTTTTGTCAACAGCAAAACCACAGACTATAAACTGACAAAGTCTTCTAACCTTCTTCCCCATCTTTAATTAGACACTTTACTTAATCCAGATTTGTTTAATGGCAAATTGACATTCATTTCGCTAAAGCGTTTATGCAAATATGATAACAGTAAACAAAAACAATATCGTCCACTTTGGAGGCCGGCCGTTTCTGAATCCCTCGCCCCCTCACACGCTTATTATGGGCCACACGGCTGGGAATAATTGGAGCCATGAAAGCGACAGCAAGATAAGTTTGGAGTGAACGAGGGCAGGGAGTCACGCTATGGGGACGCAAGTGTGCCAACACTTTTTTTTTTATCTTACTTTGAGGAAAAGAGTTTGTTTTAACATCCGTTCTCACGTCTCTTTTTTTCTTCGATGTCAAGCTTACATATCCAGGGCCAAGGAGTTTATGCTCTGCTGCACTCCAAACATTTGTACCATTCCATTGCCTATTATATTGATTTGTTTCGAGCACAATGAGTATGTCAAGGCTATGACTGTACTATGACAAAGCTGGCTATTTGCAATAGAGGAATGTTTTGTTTACATGCAATTAAAACAATGCACGCATACTAACAGGATAAAGGGAGTACAGAGGAAAATCTGAAGACGAGTCAGGCTTACAGATTGTCCCCCAAGATAACAGTTTTTAGATCGGCAGGACAGCTCACAGAGAAGACTGTGTGGGACGTGTTGCGGCGCTCCACCAGCGCAGCCACAGCCTCCCCTAAATCCAAGTGATTCAGGTACCCGGGGGCCATTCGGTCTGGGGCCGCCACACCCGTATTGATTTTCACCTGTTGGAAGATTATAAAGACAGGTATCAAATATGAGGAAATACTTTCATGACACTTAATTAAAAGCATCTACAGTGAGTCTACATGTCATGGCCGGAGTATAACCCCATGAACTTAGAGAGTTTGATGAGGCTTTTAGACAATCACACCTGGTTGAGTTTGCATGGCACCTCTGGGTACTCCTCACGCAGAACCTGACAGAACGCCAGAGCGCTTGCCGCCCCTACGGTCAGGAACCCTGTGCCAGGCATCAACACTTTCTCTCCAGCACCTCCTGTGCGACAGAGATAAGCAGGGTGAGTCATTAACTTTTTACATTTAAACTAGGGCTGTCAAACGATTAATCGCGATTAATCGCATCCAAAATACAAGTTTGTGTTGTTTACATAATATATGTAGGTGCACTGTGTATAATCATTTTATATTTATATCTATATGAAGAGTTCAGATGCAAAAGCCTCTAAGTGCCATTTGAAATTTTCTTCTAGAATGATCATTTTTATCAAGCTTGCATATTTAAGTTCAGTGATTTCACTTAAATGGCAATGATAATTACCTATTAATTGTTATTTAAGTGAAATTACTGAACTTAAATAAACAACTTTGATAAAAATCATCATTAAAGAAGAAAATTTCAAATGGCATTTAGAGGCTTTTGCATCTGAACTCTTCTATATATATATATATATATATATATACACATGCTTGTATATATTTAAGAAATATTTTCATGTGTATACTGTATATAGATTTATAAATAATTTAAATATAATACTGTATATAGATTTATAAATAATTTAAATATAAATATCTTATATATAAATCATATTTTTTTCTTAAATATACATGCATGTGTGTGTATTTATATGTATGCAAAATAATTATACACAGTGCACCCACATATATTATGTAAACACACAAACTTTTATTTTGGATGTGATTAATTGTGATTAATCGCGATTAATCGTTTGACAGCCCTAATTTAAACTTTTTTTTTATCTGCCTGATGTTTTTTTTTTTTTTTTTAAATTATGTTTCCAAAAAATAGATTCCATAGATTGTTTTCAGTGAACAGCTTTTAAAGGGATATTTCACCTAAAAATGAAAAACGTGTCATCATGTCATTATCTACTCACCCTCATGTTGTTCCAAACCTGTATGAGTTTCTATGTTCCTTTGAACACAAAAGAATATATTTTGAAGTATGTCAGTAACCAATCAGTTGATGGGCCACATTGACTTATAATATTTTTTGAACTACTATAGAAGTCAATGGATGCCGCCAACTGTTTGATTACCCACGCTTTAAAATATATTCTTTTTTTGTTCAGGCGAAGAAAGAAATGCATACAAAATTTTTTATTTTTGTCTAATCTCTTCAAATGAACCATTTTTTCTTAGTGTGCGAAACATTTTAATAACCTGTTGTGCACTATATATTTGCGCATTGGTGCAGCTCCTATAAACAGTGATTTTGAATTAGCTAAAATATAAGTTTGGACTTAATCTTATTCATACTCTCTTATGTGCACTAAACACAAGATTATTTTCCACACACAACTAAATAGCTTTAACTAAATATATGTTTTGGAGGGCAAATGATAACCTACCTGTGATAAATGTGTAGGTGCAGTTGGGATCATCTCTCACCAGGGGAAAGAACGCTTTCCAAGACACAAAGGTGCTGAAAAGCAGAGTCTCAATAACCTGGTGATGAGAGAAGATTCGAGCAATGAAATGACGGGAGAAGACCCAAACATGAAAGTTAGGTCAGAAAGCAAAATGTGGATCATATGAGCAGGTATAAAGAGTGGAAGGTCTTTTGAGGTATTTGAAGCTCACCCATTGCAGTTCTTTGAGGGGTTGAGTGTGTGGTGGACCTCCCTGCCACCAGCTGAAGCCCAGAGAGGACACCACATCTGTGATCTTTCCCACAGACTTAAGCAAGGCCTGTTTCACCTCCTCCACCCCTTCCACTGAGCCTTATAGATTAGGAGAGTCACAAACGATCCAAAATCAATGTGACCTCAAACTGACTAGAGTTGCAAAGATAACATTAAAAAAAAAACTGCAAAGGGAGAAGATTCTTACCAACATTCCCCACTAAAGTGGTCAGGTTACTTTTTGTGTTGGGTGAAACAAACCCTTTGAGTTTCTCCAACTTGCTGTTGTCTCTGGAGATTACAGCAACTTTGAAACCTAAACCACACATTCAATGTAAAAAGAATTCTATTTATGCAACGAAATGTATTTTTACCAAATAAAGTAAAAGAAAGGAAAATGTTTAATCGGCTTAGACTTAAATTACAGAATCGGAATTGAAAATAATTCCTCGTTTTAACCTCTAATAATCGCATGGTTTATGAGTATTTGATTTATGAGTATTTTCCTAATCATAACCGGACTGAATAAAGTTGCACAAAAAAAAAAAAAAAAAAGAAAAAAAAAAAAGAGAATACATTAAGAAAGATGAAAGCAGTGTGGTCAATTTAGGCTACTGTTACACTTTGTTTGGTTGTGTGTGTTTATTAAATCACGTAGTAAACATGATTCTTTAAGCATTTTAAAATGAATAACTGATCTACAAATCATTCGTATTCACTTCCAATTGATATTACAGGCTGTCATGTATAAATGTAATATAATATAATATAATTAATATAATATAATATAATACAATATCATAATTTAATTAATATAATAAAGTCTAAAAAATATACCATAATATAATATATGCCTAATAATAGTTGTTATTGTTATGAATAATTATAAATAATATTTCATAATTTGTTATTAAGATAATGCTTATTTACTTTAAGTTTAAATACTTAATGTGCTCTTACCTCTGTCCAGGAGAGCTTTCACTATGCCGGAGCCAACGGTTCCTGCTCCACCGAGCGCTAAAACCACCCTGTCCTCGTTTGACATTGCACACACAACTGCGGCAGCAGTGCAGACGTCTGAGATTGCTTATGGTTTACGGGGTTCATGTCTCCTGCTGCTCAAGATCTTTAAATCTAACCGCAGCAGGAATGACACGCCCCTTTAAGAATGACACTCCCACCAAATTATGGATTCTTTTATCTTTATCTTATTAGTTTTAAAGTAACTTTTTTTTTTTTTGGAAAATTATAAATTTTACGACTGAAAAAATACACTATAACAGTAATGTCATATCAGTAAACTATTAAAAGTGTCAGAAGGTCACAACAAATATTACCGACAGTCTCCATCTTAGATTATAGCGCCCTCTTGTGGACAATCACTGGTGTGTACAAATCATAGAGTGTAAATATTTATATATGTATATAACTAAATTAAAATAAATTATTTTGGTATTTTAATAAAAAAAATTAGAAGAGCTTAAATTTGGAATAGGGATCTCAAGATTTATATGGAATACTTTCATATATGAAAAAAGGCAAATGTGAATTATTATTTTTTTATTTCAATTGCTTTTAATTACTGTAATTGTTATTTAATTGCAATTTTAATGTTTGTACACGTTTACTTTTATTCAATCCGATTCCGAAAACAGCAACGTTCACGTGAGCCGAATACGGAAGTGATGTAAAAAAAAAAAAAAAAAAAAAATGAAAAAAGTTTCTCCGCCGAGAAGCACTGGCGTTTATCAAAGCGTTTTGTTTTGGTCGCTGAACGTTGATCAGGTAACAAATCTATTTTTTCCATTCGTAACATTCTTATGCGAATGGCGTTAATGTTCTACGAGCTTTGATGATTTGATTTTAAGAAGTTCGTTTTTGGTATGGAAAGGTAACAATATACAAGATCTATGCTCTTAGCGTAGTTTATGCCCATAACAATGCGCTATACTTCAAATATACTTTTACAAAATCTGAATTTAATGACTAAAGTATTATTTAGAACGCTGATTTTAGATAAATTACGGAACTGTTTTCCAACTTCACTTTCACTTTAGTCTGTTGATTTACGTTTCGATAGTTTAAATTTTCACATATTCAGCAATCGGCGGGTTGTTTTGATTGAATTTGAAGTTCATATTTAATCTTTAGATAATAACATGTTTATGGTTCTATACACTGTGGTTTAAAAGTTTGGGATCGGTTCTACGATTTTTTTTTTTTTTAAGAAGTCTCTTATGCTCACCACCAAGGCTGCATTTCTTTGATTATGACAATTTAAAATAATTGTTTTCTATTTTAATTTCTATATTTAAAATGTAATGTATTCCTTTGATGCAAAGCTGAATTTTCAGCATCGTAACTGTCTTCAGTGTCACATGATCCTTTCAAAAATCCTTCAAATATGCTAACTTGATGCTCAAAAACAAAACAAAACCAAAAACATTTATTATTATTATTATCAGTGTTGAAAACAGCGGTGTACAATTTTCCCCCCAGCATTATTAGATGAATAGAAAGTTTTATTTCATTTATTTGAAATATAAAAATTTTGTATCATTATAAATGTATTTACTATAACTTATGTTCGATTGAATGCATCCTTGCTGAATAAAAGTATTGATGTTTTTTTTGGTTTTTTAATATTTTTACATTATGGTTTTCAACATTGGTAATAATAATAATAAACCTTTCTTGAGCAGCAAATCAGCATATTAGAATTATTTCTGAAGGATCATGTGACACTGGAGTAATGATGCTGAAAATTCAGCTTTGCATTACAGGAATAAATTATAATTATTTTAACATATATTCAAATAACTAGTATTTTAAATTGTATTCATATTTCACAATATTACTGTTTTTTGGTTTGCATTTTTAATCAAATAAATGCAGCCTTGGTGAGCATAAGAATATTCTTTTAATAACATTAAAAATCTTACAGATCCCAAACTTTTGAACAGCAGTGCATTTATAAAGATGTCATCCACCATATTCCAAGAGACTTGTGATTATTACTAATTTTTGATATGTGATTTATTGTGATATTTATTGATATAATTTGATTGTCAAAAACATACTTCTTTTATTGTGTCTTCATTACAGGATGAATTCTTTTGCTAATAAAAAGACACAGAATGGTCTTATAAATAGGTACCAGACTAACTTGGAGAGACGAATTGAGAAGGGGGATCAAAGTTTAGTATGCAGGGATGAGGGACTGTGTAAGGAAGTAGAAGTGCTCCTTTGCAATAACAATGCCCAGAAAATACATACTCTACATGGATTGGATCCACTGACAGTGATGGAAAAATCTCTCCATGAATTTCCTTCTAAAACTGGGCAAATGGGGCTTGAAAAACTTGCCAAGGCCTTTGAAGTGTTGGAGCTCGCTTCGTTAAACCTCTACGTCTTTCCCTGGAGAAGAGAGTACAGACTGGTTAAGGTATGTGGAAATACTGGTGTTACACCTACAGAGCTAGATTTTTCAATTGTCTGAATGCTTTTGTTTTTCTCCTCCTTAAAATAAACTCCTCTTCCATCTCACCAGACGTTTTCAAGCATGTTCACCCATTTGATCAAACCTGCACTGACCCTTCAGCAGGCTAAAGAGCTGTTTGCATTGCTTGGGTACCAGCCTTCAATATCTAATGAAGACGAGGAGTTGGCGCTGAACTCCAAACCAGCTCCTTCTGATTTCATACTCGCTCTAGCATGTGGTTTCTTCACTGCCCGGATGGAGTGCCAGCTGCTTCTTTCCTCCTTGGGCTCAGCGCACAGAGGTGTGGAGTGGGTTCTTCTGCTAGTTAAAGAGAGGCAGGCGGGCCACAGTCTTCAGGTAGCATTAGACAACGCCAAGAAAAAGTCAGAGGTTGCTAGTGCTGCGGACGCCATCCTGACAAGCGGCGTGGACACTGAGCTTGATCTGTACACAGGGGAGACAGACGTGACATCCGCTCCTTTTTCACCACCACACTCTTCTTATACGCAACCAAAAGAGATCAAGCCTGACTCAGACATGAGGAATAATGACGTTGCCGGGCAGAGAAGATCAATCAACAGTCCGGGTCCAATGGAAAGCTTTGGTGAAGATCAATCGAAAGGTAGTGTCCAGAGACCAGCAGGAGTAAATGGGATGTGCAGCTGTATCACACCAGATTTATTTTATATATACCAGTGTGAGAAGTGCAAACATGTTCACAGTCCATCGTGTAGCCATTATATAGAGTGCCTTTCAAAAGGGCATACTTTAGCGCTGTGCCCATACAAAGGCGAAGACCTTTATTTAGCACAAGACCAGTTTAGATTGGCCAAGGAAAAAGATTCCCTGAAGACACATAATTGCATGGTCGATTCTACTTGTGATACATTTTTGGTTTGCTACACCTGCCAGGTAATCCATGACCACGACTGTAATAGCATTCAAAAGTGCAAATTAAATCACCACGTACTGCCCACAGGAAAATTACAGCCCCCTCAAGGAGAAAGAGTGAATGGTCAAAAGAAGGACACATGTCTTGAAGCTCCAGTGAATGCAATGCGTCACACCTCGTATAACGCCCATGACTTATGTCAAGATGTGCAAAACTGTGTGAAGTATGAGCATTGTGTGCAGTACCCCCAGGAAACACCTCCTGCACCAAAACCATTTTTCAATCATTGCTTGACAGATAAAAAGCATTTTCCTGAAATCGTATGCCTCACTTGTAAAGCCTTTCATTTATCTGGGTGTTTTGGTGGACGGCATTGCTCTCAAGAACACAAAATACAAGATTTTGGAACTAAATGCATCACTTGCTTCAGTTCTGAACTTTTCACCTACTGCAGGTATTGTGGTGTCCTGTATTGCAAGCGATGTTGCTTTAAAAATGTCATGGTGTGCAAGTGTGGAATGCCTTTCATCTCCTCTTCCTCTGTATAACATCTATGGGTCAGTGTTGATCATGTGTGGTTGAAGACTGCCTGTTATTTTGCTAATTGCACAGTAGATCTGAAGTACTTGGGGTTAAATACATGACAATCTGTTGTTACACTTTTGATTTTTTGATATCAGCAACATCTTGATAGGAGCCATATATTATAAAAAAAAGTTACAAAGTTCACAGTAGTTAATTATCACTTACCAATTTATGTCATACAATAACACAGCTCATAACTGTATATTATTGGTTGAGATTGTGCGATGGCCAGTCCAATATTTGGGAAAATTATGGTTTTGGGTCTTAGCAACATTTCTAACCAGTTATTATGTTTAGAGTAATGTACTATGCTGCCATATAATTGTTAAATATAATGCATGTTTATTATTATGATGGTTTCATGGAGTTAATATAAAAATAAAGGGAATGTAAGAGAATTCTGCTTGTACTCTTAGTCTTATTTAAAAGATCAAAATCCTAAACATTGTTATATAATAAAAAAAATATCCTACTATTGAGGATGGTGTTTTAATCTCAACAAAGTCATATACTAGTATCCGCAAAGGAAAAGAGGAAAGTTGAGGTCATATCTGGTAGTGAAATGTGATAAACAGTGATAAAAAGGCCTGTGTCGGATAACAAAGGATTTAATTAAAGCTCCATTATCTCTGAAATCCAAAGGTAAGGTTGCAATAAAGTTCCCAAAGCTTTATTCATTGTACTCTTCCCATTTTACATTAATGAAGGTTTTACTGTCCATGCGATCGATATATAAAACTCCATTGAGGTGATCCATTTCATGCTGCAGTATTCTGGCCGGCCACCCACTCGCTTTCCAGGTGACGGGCTCTGCTTTCTCATTAAGACCTTTGGAAAGAAGACAACTGTTTTTATTTGATACTTGAAATAACATCATAAAGTAAATATTTAGGTTGCCACAATGATTTTAAGTCTGGCATTTCTTTCTTTTTTTGACATTTTACAGCACGATACTTTTACCTGAGACTTCTACTGACATATAGCGTGGAACGGATGCTGAATACCCACAGATGCTCTCACATGCCTCTTGGAAGATGACGGTGTGTCCATCTAGTACACGCAACTGTGGGTTTACAAAAATCATCAGGGGCACTGCCACCAGACCCCGGGCTTCAATGGACGTGATTGAGCTTTCTTGCAACATTTTTTTGGGATACTCCAAGGCTAATATCCGTAGAGGAACACCAATCTGGGGTGCGCTCAGGCCGACACACTCGAGCGTTCTCATCACCTTGACCAGAGTCTTTATGACCTTCTGCACCTCTGGTCCTTGAATGGCTCCAGGTTCCACTGCCGCAGCCTGTGAACGTAACACAGGATCTCCGACCTGGCACACGTGATTATATGGAGGAGCCGGTGCACCTTTGAATTTCCTTGTCATGTATTGTAAGTAGGACCGCATCTTGATGTTGGTAGAATGAGTACGTGGGGCTGCAGTACATGTGAGTGATGACAAGGGTAGAAGTATTCTAACTGGTTTTGGAAGTACATAATTTGTCTGACTTCTTAAGACACAATGTGAAAATGTCCTCCAGTGCCTGATCATGACTGGCAGCTGTAGTGGAAAGCTTCTCTCTTGACAACTGGAGAAAGGGAAAAAAAGGACATGTCATTCAAAATAAATTTGAATGTGGACAAGTCTGTTTTATTTTAGCTCATCAAAGCTGAATATTTATGTATGTTTACATAAGTAAGCAGTAATAACTAAAAAGTAGCTACATTAATTATATAGGAGTGAAATAAACATTGGATACAGTCACTTTTATTAGCAAGTGTCAATACTCACCAGTACTGTAATTAATTCCTGTAATAATAAGAATTTCACATCAGAATTTTTTTTTTTAAACCGCTAGAAGCATTTCAATGTGAGGAGGACAGTCAGAGAGAGACCATTCCGGAAAACGGAATTACTGAGACACCTATGACACCGTGTTGTTTCTTTAAAATAAAAGTCTGAGTATTTTAATATGAAATTGAATTAAATATCTGATTAAATTAAATTATATTAAATTAAAACCGTATTAACTTACGGTTACGGTTACACCACATGGATATCGTGCAGGGAAATGCATAGCGTGGAAGGCTTTTATTTTGGTAAAATCATTTTCAAAAAGTTACGTCCTGTTTCAAAACATCACGTGATATAGTCAGCGTGAACGCGATGTTTGTTTACACCACCTCCCTTTCATATCAAGGAACGAGCATTTTCAATCAAACAAATCTTACCATTAAAGTCCCCGTGAACCGGAAGTTGCAAACGATTTTTCTCCAGTGCTGTGACGTATTTCCAAGTGAAACGGAATATTGAACAGAGGGCAGGGTTTTACTCTAGCGCTCCTCCTCTCCATCTCTCGCTCATAGTAAACTAACGGTTTGAGGGGAGTGGTTACGCGTTTCCCCACCCAAACTGTGAAGCCTACGTCATCAGAAAAAGAAACCGTTCCAGGCCGGAAGTAACTTTTCAGATTTTGATTAAAGATTACTAAGGTAAAACATTTTTTAAATATATATTCACTTGCACGGATTAATTGTTCACCACAAGACTAGTAATATGCGCTAACAAAGTAAATAGGTTCAATTTTGATTTCACGGGGACTTTAATAGCACCATATTTTATGATTATTAAAAAATAATATACACGTCTTTAATTCTAAGTAAGTTAGTTAGAATAATAGTATAATTTATGTAGCTTCATGCAGATAATTACTTTCAGTCCATATCGTTATTTAATCGTAAGAAATCTACTTTATCGTAACCTTTTCATTTATTTTTTTTTTAAAATGAAAGTGAAAATAATTAAGTGAAGTAGGCGATCATCACGTGTTTTCACCGTAGTTGTGCGGAAAGATATCTGGGACGTAACGTTACTACATCCGTGATCAGATGAACATGGCGCAGGGGAAACAGGCCGTTCGTGGACTGTAAACAAGAGGAAATTTTGGGATAAGATCGACATCGTACCATGCACGTGTGAAATGGTCTCAATCTCGATATACTGGACCGTTTGTTCTGCTTCATTGATGACTACGAGGCGACAGATTGAGTGCAACACATCGAATTGCATTCATAAACATTTCTATAGGACTTCAAACCCCTGAGCATTCATTGTTTTGGATATTGAAAACAAACCTTGTTTTATTGTGGATGACATCCTTCACGACCAAATGGCTGCAATTGGAAAAGTCAAACGGAGTAACGTTATTGATTTGCCTCAAGGTGTTGAGAGGTTGAAAGAGGAGCACAGAAAGGTCAGGAGTAACGTTAATGTTTATTTCATATACCACCGATGCATTCCTGCAGATATTAAAACTCAATGCATGCGTTTTATCGTCAGCACCAGTTTATCTGTTATCTATTTATGTTGTTTTTGCAGTATAGTCGCATAGACGCGTAGCATTTTCCAGAAAGTTCCTTTGTGTATCACGTGTTAGCTATTTGTTTGGTTATATGTTTTTTTTATACTTCGCAATTAAATTAATGTACATGCAATTTTTCTCTATAATGTTAACCATAAATTATCACACATGTGGTAAACAATGTAAACTCTAGTTTAATCGAATACAAAGTTGTCCACGTTGCCAAAATGCATGCAGCAAGCAGTAGATAGTAACGTTACACATGCTGTGAAATAACTCCTTGTGAAGTTAAGGTTTAACTAACTTTATATTTCCATGATATTTTGAGTAACACGAGTAGGTGAAAGGCAAAAAGTGTTTTACCTATGTATTGACATTGGAGGATAAATAAGCTACATTTGTACTGCTTCATTTAACGTCAGCAAGACTGGAGTATTTTTCTTTATATACTCAAACTTCTGTTTATAAGACATGTTTTATGTTGTTCTATTGGTGGGTGAATCTCCTAAAGCCAGTAAAGAACATACCTGGGTAATATTTCTCTCCAACATAAAAATAATCAACTTTACTGTGAAAATTTTATTTTGCAGAAGGAACATTAAGATGATTTGCACGGGACATAATTTCCATGAGAAATAAGCATATTGACCTTGTAATGTTCAGTGTTGTTATGATAAAAATCTTTCTCATTATTGTAATAGATGTTATTAATTAATGTCACTGTGCAAACCATTCTAATGGGCTTCATTTTCTCTGAGCAAAATAGTACTGAGCTATTTGTGAGCCTACAGACTCTTTTTAGTTGTTTTACTTGTATATTGTTTTTAATGATGACCTTGCCAAAACATCCTTATGGTACCTTGTCTCAACTTCTCACAAGAAGTAACTTTTTAGGACTATCATTCACTCTAATGGTCAATTCACATTACCCAAATATTGCAGATAGTTTAGCAGTGATTGTCACAGTGGCATTTTGGGAATTTCAGTGGTTGTGAAATGAACAACTGTCTTCCACAACAGGTGGTGAAAGATTGCAGAAGTCAAATTGAGCATTGGTGAGTGTCCTTATGTAGTTTAACAGATGTGTCAGACATGCATAACATTCGTATCAATGTATATAACTGTGTGTTCTAGCTGCACATTAGCTTGTCTTGTATTTTTTTATTATTATTTTTTTTTTTTTGCATGTTTATATTTGGAATGGAAATGCTGTTTATAATGTGAATCACTTTCTTGTTTGACGGTTATGACAAAAGATTTGACAGCCTTTTGTTATATTCCTTTTCAGTATTTTCAAAAGATATTCTGTAGGTTGGACAAAAATAGAATTTGTATGTCAACAAACCAGTAATAACCTTCTAAGTGATTAATTTTTCTGTGATTGACAGGGAAAAAGTGGAAAAAGACTATGAATCTCTTCAGGACCGCCTCAGGACCTTGCCTGATAAGTTGTCTTATGATATTATGGTATGGCATCACATTTCAATTACCAATGCATCCAACTTGTGTGTCTACATACACAAAATATTTTGCATGCCTGAGCAACTAAATGTCTAATTAAATTTATCATCAGAGGATTATTCAATCCTTTTAGCTGGTTTTAAGACACATTTATACCAATGACTATAACAATAAAGTTATAATATTGAATAAGTTTTAATAAGGTCTGTACTGTAGTCCCATAGAGGAACAATTTCAATGGAATCCCTTTCAGAACAATTTGTTTCAGCTAATGAAGGATAAAACCATTGCCAGCCTGACACGGTAACATAATGTTAACAGTGTTGGTGTGGAGACCAATAGTTATCTATAATTGATCCTGGTATTGAATGGACCTTTTGTCAGATTTGATAGTGACACTTTTACTGGAAGCCCTGATTTTGCTCATTATTTTTTTGTTTTTTTTAACATGATAGGTACCATTTGGTCCCTTGGCTTTCATGCCGGGAAAGCTAGTTCACACTAATGAGTTAACAGTGCTCCTCGGGGATAACTGGTTTGCAAAGTGTTCTGCCAAACAAGCCGACACTCTTGTGGAACACAGGAAGAAACGTGAGTTATTTCTACTAATATTTCCCATTGACCAGTTTTGAATAATGCGTACAGCTTGACCTGATTTATTTGATTTTTTCCAGATGTCAAAAATGCTCTAGATGACTTACAAAAAGTGATGAAGAACTTTCAGAACAGGGCAGATTTTACAAAGGATCTTGAAAAATTGACTGGTGTAAGTGTCATACCTATGACCTCAATACTCTGTGACATTATTTGGAAATCTTATACTGATGTATTCATTTCTGGAAGAAACTTCAGGACACACCTAAAATCACATCCATTCTTTCTCAACAGGGTAGTGGAGATTTTGTAGATATTAGAGAAGAGGTAATAAATGAGGAAGAAGTTACCAAAGGTAAATCTCGGCTTTGGGCTATCTGTCGTACTATCAGGCTGTTTCTACTTTTATTGTTCATGACGTTTACACTCTATTGTGCTTCCCCAGGAAAACATCGTTTGGCACACAAACCCAACTCTAAACCTAAGCAGGAGTATGTGTTGGACCTGAAAGAGGACAAAGAGAAGGAAGAAGTTGATGAAGAGCGAAAGACGGGGGTGCTGTCAGAGGAAGAGCTGTGGGCTCGACTTGATGATCTAGAGCGTCAGGAGGAACTGCAGGATGCGAGATACCGGTAAAAAAAACACTGGAAACCTAACACTGTGTTCAATATTTTTTAGCACAACCATTTTTAACATTGATAATAACATGATTATTGAGCACCAAACCAGCATATTAAAATGTGACACTGAAAGCTGAAAATTCAGCTTTGCATCACATGAATAAATTAGATTTTAAAATATAAAATAGTTATTTTAAATTGAAATAATATTTTACAATATTACTGTTTTTACTGAATTTCAGATCAAATAAATGCAGCTTTGGTGAGCATAAGAGACTTCTTTAAAAACATTTATTAAAAAAAATCAATAGAGTATTGGTTCCTAGCATACATATTGAGTTAAATGGTTTTTGTTAAATCCTTATTCAGTCATCACAAACAAAAAAAGGAAATTTTCATACCACGTATGCATAAATTATTATTATTAGTAGTATGAAAATGTAATGCACATACAGTACAGAAAAAGGAGCTGTTACACCAAACATTTAAGAGGATACTCATAGATTTGGTCTATTTTCTTCCCTGTTACACCAGATTGGACAGCACAGACACTAATGGAGAAGACACCACTTCCTCCTCAGAGGAAGAGAAGGAAGCAGATGGTGGCAGCGGTGTCCAGGTTAATGGCCATCAGAAAGAAAATGGCTGGGTTCCGTCATCTCTCAGTCAGATGAACGGCATTAATGGCTCGCACCCTGAGGAGGACGAGGGGGATGAGGAAGAAGATTGTGAGGAGGAAACGGATAATGGGCTTCCAACTATCTACTTTTCTCACACTGTGGAATTCAAAAAGGTTAGTCAATAGTTGCACAAAACTCTTTTAGATAATGTTACAAAATATTTTTATTTCAAATAAATGCTATTCTTTTGAGCTTTCTAATTCAT